ACTTGTATTTCATTTCTTAATATATAAGTAGCAAAATAAATATTGCACATGCAGTATTGTGACTAAAGAAAATGTTAAACTTGTTTTTCACATAGAGGGCTACAAAGAAGAAAAAGAAATCCAAAGAGAAAAAGACTCTCAGTTAAGAAGACCAGTTAGGTGTTTTATCAAGTTATGGCTAAAAATGTTTTCTCTGTTACTGTTGCAAATATCGATTTGGTTTGTATCCTAGCCCCTGGGAGTTCTGTGCCTCCCTATTTTGTTGTTGCACTTGAATGAGAGTTAATAGTTTGACTTTAGTAATTAAACTTAAGAACCAGATTGAAGGGGATTTTAACTTCCCTGAAAATGTACTTTAAGTTAATCTGCTTAAGAGGAATTATCTGTTTCTTATTAGAAAAATCAAAGCCTGGCTCTGCTTTATCACTGAGAATGTCTGTATGGCGGGCCATGAATCTTATGGTAATGTTTAAAGCTTCAAGAAATTATTTGGGGTTTTAAAAAATTTAGTCATCAAAAATTTGGGATTTGATTCTTTAATTATTGGCTAAGCATAGGATGGTTCTTGTTTTGTAGTGTTACTATTAATTGTTTTGTCTTTCTACCTTGTTTTGCCCTTTGGAAACGCCACATATTTTGTCCTGTTTAAAAAGGTTCAAAACTACTTTTTCCTGTATTTTTTTTAAATGACTAGTCACAAATACACAATGGGAATTATTTACTGAAGAATTGTGATTTGGAGAAGTAAACTTCCATTGCTTTTTACTTTAATATTTTAGATAAATTTCTTAATACTGATTCAACTGCATCTTTTTCATATGTGACAATCCTATGTAAATTATTATTATTGGAGCCAATGTCCTTCCAAAATTGCTGTGGGTGAAATATGTGAATGAATATTTAGTGTGGCAATTTTTTGTACCACATTTTAAAAAATACACTGAATTGTGTTGAATGCTAACAAAAGGTAATATGTCATTGATCCTGATAATGTGTCATTCAGTAATAAAATTGTTATATTTTGTGATTATGTATTCAACACCTCAGGTGGATATTACAGAAATACTAGTAGTTAGCAGGATGTTTTTTAGAAAAGCAATGCTTTCATTAACACTTGAAGGAGAAAAGTTTAGCAAAGAGGAAAGACTGAAATATTATTTCTAAAGTGGAAATGCATTTAATATGTCATTAATGATGCTTATGTTTGGCCTGGGCTGTAGTTAGCATTGCCATATTTCAACTGCCCCAGTTTAGGAGTGGGAAAGTACAAGAGGATCTAACAAATTTGTACTCAGAATGGAATGAATAGTTGATGTATATAAGGATACTCTTGTGTGAGCATAGTTTCACTTGAAACAGATATTGAGGAAAAAGTGAAATTTGGAATAAAAGTGGCCCTGAACCGACCCTGAACCCCATTTATTTCAGTGTGTCCAGAGACCCAGCCAAGGGAGGCCACAGAGTAACCCTGAGTCATACCTTCCCTGCTCTTGTTGGAGCAAGCAAAGCCCCTTGAAGGAGCTGTGTGTGTTCAACAGCTGCTGTGAGACTCTTGTCAAGATATGAGCTAGTTTATCAACAACTGATTGATTTAAAATATCACCGAACAAGAACAGTCCTGGGTAATCAACTTAAAATTCATGACCAAATATTTGCACTGACGAGGATTATACCTGACGAGGATTTGAAAATAGACATTGTGAAACTAACTCTCAGAACAGGGAATTCTGTAGATAAGAGCCATCTCAGTTAACCTCAGACCTCTGTACCTGCTTAAAAAAATTTTCCTATTGGTAGAATTTTAAAAGCAAGAGCTCCTGTTTGAGGGAGTTAGAAGTAGACTTCTTTTTGATATAAAATTATTCCATGCCAACACTTCTTGGAAATTATATTAACATGTGGATCTGACCTGAACTTTAGTTGTTTTCTTTATAGCCAAGCTGACAAGAGTGTAAAGTTCCTTGCTGATTTTGAGAATACAAAATCAAAGACTATAGTTTTTAGGATTAAGAATAAAGGATTGTAACCATGACTTTTTTATTTTTAAGAATGATATCATGAAGAAATAAAATGTGTCTTCATCACTTTATAAGCTTTAGAATGAATTTTTTTCTGAGTACCATCATTTATTGCTTTACTGAAAATACAGCCATTTTGAATTCTTAACAAAGAACTTTGCAAGAAAAATACCTGTTCAATTAATTTTTTACATGCTGCTGATAAACCTAATATTGGAAAATTAGTTGCCTTTTTGGGGGAGAGAATTATAAATCTGCAAAAGCAGGAGATGTACTCAAAATGAAAAATTGAAAATTATCTAAAGATACTGTGATTTATATTCATTGTAGACACTATCTCCAGATATTATTTGTTATATGTGAACAAAAAGAATCACTGTGTATGTGTGTGCGTGTGTGTGCCAGCGTCCCTTCCCCCTTCCCGATGTATGCTGTCTAGGTTTGACTCAGTCTCACTAGGGACATGCCTCGGACTTTTCACACTTTTTCAGGTCCTAATGCCAAGGGAAGAAAAGTACTGTCCTTCTTGGCACAAATGAGACCCTGGCTGGGGGTCAGATCTGTCACACACATGCCTGAACCTCTGGTTTAAGGCTCAGCTGTCACATCTGGATTGGCCCCTGTTGTGATTACATTTATGACAGATTGGCTTTGCTCTCTAAATTTAAACTTGAGGATTATACATGTCATGTTCTTGTATCTCAACCATTTTTGACAAAATATATAGGTAAAATTTTAATTTTGTTTCCAGTAGGCATCTTAACTAGCCCTAGGGAATAGGTCACACTTGTGCTGATTATTAAAGTGCATCCCTTTCAATTGGATATTTTTAAATAAGCTGTAACTCTGGAAGGATATGATTGGAAGAAAGGACTGTGATTTATTCAAATAGAGAAAAACGGGAATATGGAAAACACCGTGAGCTACTCAGTGATTTCTGATGTTTGAAAGAAAGAAAACTTTGAGGTAGAATTCTAGGAAACAAAAAAGTAGAGCAAGCTTTTTCACAGAGGACAGAGTTAAGCCTGTGCTCACATAACTGCAGTAATGTCTGACTTAGTCATAAACACTGTGGTCAAAATGTTAACCTCATGCATTCTGCAAAGACATAAAATGGTAAAATGTTTCTCTTCCCTTAGTCAATGATTCTATATTGATTCAGGAGCCATAATGAGAAGTTCAGATTGACAACTTTCTATCTGGAACATATGTGCACCTTATATATTGCATACAAACATTTCCACAGGTACTGTTGCCCGTCAGGATGATGGTAGCTTTTAGTCGAAGCATAAAGGATATTAACATTTCTGTGTGTGAAATTTTAGTGGATGAGATACGTGTCAGTAACAAATGTAAACACAAGAATTTACTAGATAAATAAAATGCCCAGGTCGAAAGAGTTGGCTCTCACCATGTAAGTAAATTTACAAATCTGAATGATGAAGAATGTTAGTGGTTACCCCGCAGACCCGTCACTCCCATCATTCTGTGCACATTTCATTGGTTAGATGTGCATTACCATAGGAATAATGCAACATTTTACAATGCATTCTTTTATTTTTAAACACAAGCCCAGTCACTTTACAAACTCTGTTTGGAATGAAGTTTAGACTTACATAGCTAAAGGCTAATTTATACCTTGTGAAGTTAGATGCTTTAAAATGTGCTATGGAGATCCCCATGAAGTGTAAGTTGTAAAGCACGATTTTGTTTTCTCTGAACTTTGGAATTCTACTCAGACCTCTTGCGTCATGTCCTGTACAAATAAAGTGGAAGAGGATGCAGAAGTGAAGCCTGTAGCCACTAGGGCTACAGGAAGGTTTGACATTCATTCCTCTGCCGAGGGGCTTATTGAGCTTTTTTCTCTTCTTCCCATTTTCCTTTTTCTCTCTTTTTCAGAAATACAGGGAAACAGTGTTCAGAGAGCCCAGGCACTGTTCAGGACAGGATGAGTAGCCCGGGGGCCAGCAGCGCTCCGGGGAGTGCAGCTTCCTGGGCTGTTCTTTACCAATAGGAGGTCATTTCTATCCCAGTAGTCCAGCCTCCTCATTCTTGGCTGCAGGCGCTTAACTCAGCCCACTTTCCTGTGTTGCCTGCCTATGTCATAGAACAGCTGCTAGAAATAACTAGCTGTGCAGTTGTACCATTCACCTTTCATTCACTGTTTCTTATCATATGAATCTTTTTTTAAGATAAGGGGCCCAGAGCCAGGCAGAACTTTTGGGGTCATTTAATTCTATATTTTATCTAGTTCTATAGTAATATCTAATTATATGTCTAATTATCTCACAGACAGAGATAACCAAAGTTTCCAATACAAGCAAAAAGAAAATTTAAGCTTCTGGTTAAAGCTTTCAACATAAGTCTTCATATTTGCGAGTCAGTTTACTTAATAGACTTAAATTTAAAGAATTTCCTCTTTTTTTTTGCATTCTCTTCACTATATCAGTAGATTAAAGGGAAAGTATTTTTAAATATATACTGTGTATTTTGATGTCATATGTGTAATTACCTTAACTGAATATTCGTATATTCTGACAATATTAAAAGATTTTAAAATCTAGAACCCCAAGTTCCTAAATTCCAAGAAAAGAAAACCACTACATCTATGTACAGTTAAGGAACTTGTCCCATGATCTTTCACAAGGTTCAGCTGTGAAAAGTCCTATGGCTTTTTCAGATTTCTAATTGCAATTAGTCTTTTTATAGCTCAGCACTCTGTACTCTTTTCAGTGAGCAGGCATATGTTTTTGCCTTAAAAAGAAAAAGTACAGTAATAGTCATCTCTGCTGGCCTTAGTTCATCAATTACCAAAAATAAAAAATCCATGTCTTACCCTGATGAAGTGATTAACCCAAACCTGTCCCCCACTTGGTATCCAGCAAAAAGTCTGTCTCTTATTTAGGTACAAACTTAGACTCTTCACCTGTCAGAGGAAAATGAAGCTGTCACTAACGAGTTTCATGTTTATTTTGCTGGCAGGTTCATGCCTACGACAGAGTGATCCCCCCAGGTGAATTACTCCCCCAACATCGGCGTGGCACTGACTACTTCATAAAGCTATTTATGAAAACTCCTCTAGTGTGTGGACCCTGTCCCCGCAGTGTGTCGCTGCTGCCGCCAAGTGACAGGTCTGAAACATCAGCAAATCCTGAACAATTAGAGCATCAATGTCTCTTTCTAAAACTAAGCGCTCCCAACCTCCTAGACCAGGACATTGTCTCCCGCTGTTTCTCTCTGGGCTAGTGTGGGTGTCTTTCTGGCTTCTGAGAAAAGAATGGCATGAGTAATTAAGAAAATCTTTCCTTTCTCTGAGTGAATATATCTAATTTTAGAGTAGAGGGAGTTTTTATTTTTAAAAGTACCTGGTTAGTGTCCCTCAATCTCATACAAAAATCATACCATACCACAAAAGGGAAATTCTGTCTTAAAAGCCCATCAGTCACACCCCAAACTTGTAACTCAAGGGACACAGGAGTACTTGGGGCTGTATGCAAAGACTGTTCTCTGTAGCAGCAACTGGACTAAGAGCTTTTCAATTGCTGTGACATTTTCAGCCAGGGAAGTAGTAGTAGTTGCTGCAGAGCAATGTTTTCCAGGCAATTACTTTATATGATCAATGGAGCAATTCCTCTTCTAGAAAGGAATCAAAGCGATCAAGTTAAATCATTAAAGAGAGAAAGAGAGCAGGAGAAAGGATTCATCTCATTAGCAGGTGCCAGTGCGGCGGCCTCTGCAGTGGTGGCACACAATGTCACTGGCCCTTTAAGACAATGACTGTGCTCCCTCCGCTGTGGCCCCTCCCTCCCCTGTAGCTGTTGACAGGTCTAAACCTCCCGAGCAGCCCATTGTGGCCACAGTAGGAGGCACCTGCAGAAAATGTGCCAAAACCAGGCAGGGAGCAGAGCTTTTCAATAAGCTCCACAGCTGGAGAGGAGCCGCAATACTAAACAACCAGGCTGGGACCAAGCATGTGATGGGAAAAGGGGTCAAACCAGACACCTCCTATAGGCTTTCTGAGCACTGTGTGGTTCAATTTGATGACATCTTCTAGCTGGCTTTTTTCTATTTGCTTAATATGCTGAGGTATTTAGCTTAAAAGCACTAAACGCTCCACCGTGATGAGCGGTTTTCCCTTTCTCCATTTAGTGTCATTAAGGACATTTGGCAGTATTTTCCCTCTTTCTCTGCCCCAAACTAAGATTGTTTTCTTTTGCTTCCCTCTCACAGTTACAGGCATTCCCCACCACACACAGCCTGCTTGATTTTGCTGTCTTTAATTCAGACACAAGTAAAGCTCTCCAAATTTAGGATCTGTTCCACCTTCGTGAAGCACATATTCTCACTGCTTGAAGCACACATCTGGATGCTCCGCTTTTACATTTCAACTTAGTAAACATGTATTGTACGTCTGCCATGGACTTATCACTGATTGCAGGACTTCTGGAAATCCAGACCTGTTTCAGGCCCATGTTGTTTAGGGACTAGCAGAAGGGCTAAATAGCTCATATAACCAGGAGTTTGAAGAATTTGTTTTGCACGCATGCTCTTGGCCTTGTATTATTCACAGCCCTTTTGAGAATAAGCAGAGTCGAGGAAATGGATAAGGAGGGACTTGGGATGGGCTGGGTGGCTTTGTTTAACGTGCCTTGGGATGCAAGAGGACAAACTCAGTGCCATCTCTCCGAGATAAATGAGCCACAAGAACCTGGCATGACTCCTTGGTTTGGGCAGCTCTTATCTGTCCTTCACTCCTAACATTTATACAACACTTTCTAGTTTTCATGATATTTCCATTTCCTTTCTTCTTACTTAATGCAGTAAGACATTATCTCTGTGTTACAGATGAACACATCTGAGATTCAGGGCTAAGCACCTTGCCCAAGGCCACACAACAAGTAGGTGGTAAGTGCGAAAGCCTCCAGGAACCCAGCTTCTCTGCACCCCCTCGACTTTGCCTCTCTTCTGCCCTGGGCTCCCTCTTCAGACTGTCAACCCACAAGAGTGTAGGACTTCAGAGCAATGCAGAAACAGATAAAGCGACATGTTCACAGTGAAACTCTTTTCCCCCTTCAGATGGAGAGTGTTGGCGTGTACGGATTCTGTGGGTGTAAAGCAAAGAACAAACTGAAGTGTGATTCAAGGTGGGAAATAACCGCTGCAGGTAGGAAATGAACTAATTTGTGTAAGTATCCAACTGGCATCTGAAATAATGACCCCCCCGAACTGCATTCCTTTTGAGAGGGACTAGGTACGGTTAGCTATGGTATCTTTAAACTTATGTGCACATGAGATGTTTTGCTCAGCTGCTGCGGCACTGCTTGTTCAGAATGCCCACAAGTGAGAAGAGCTTTGAAGGAGATGCTGTCTTAGAGGTAGTCTTAAGTCAGGCGATGAGATCCTGCAATCCTGGGCAGCCACACTTAGCAGTACAGCTGAGGGAGCAGGACTTGGCATCATTGTCGCCTGCGGGGCTCACACTGTCTCCCCACTCTGCTCTGGTGGCCCTGGGAGAGTGTTTCTGTTTGGGTCCATACAAAGGCAGAAAGAGATGGTCTCTCCACAGTTCTGAGCTTGTTTATGCCTTAACGTGTCTCTCCCCTCAGAGGACTGGTTCTCTTCCTCCTTCTTCCTCAGCACCTCCCTCCACTTCTGGGAAAACAAGCGAACTATTCATGTGAAAAGAGAAAGAGTAAGGAGGGAGGGGGAGATGCCACCGGCAAACTCCATTGAAAGCCACGGGCTGTTCATTTACATTCACACTTTTTAAAAAATGTTAACTAATGATGTTAAATGGTTTGCCAAAGGTCCTGGCAGGTCACTTGTAGAAGTGTCATTTCTGCCTAATTAGGGCTCTTGTAGCTGCCCGGGGCCTCCCAGTGCAACTGGTGACAAGCAAGACCTGACAGCTTCAATTGGTGCCAGTAGGAAGGTTGGACCGGTCGTGTTTTCTAACTCAGCCAGGTGTTTGCTGAATGGGGGAGGGGGCTTGGCGAGATCTGAGCGCTTCTATGATCCTTTTTCTTTCACTAAGCCCTCCCAAGTCCTTCCCCTTTGCCAGTCTTGTCTTATGTCAAGGTCAAGAATGGGCTTTGCTAAATCAGCAATTTGGGTTATCTCTGGGAGGTCATTAGCAGTCCTAGCCCAGACACTTCAAGTGGTCTCAGACCCCAGATGCTAGATTTTTTTTCCTCCCTAAAAACCAGAGAATAGGAAAAGAAAAGGAATGATTTAGGTAGTAAACAATAGCGGGACAAAAACAAGACAAAACAAAAAACTCAAGCTTGCAGTAGCCATCAAAATGTTAAACTTCTGAAGACACTGCTAGTAATAACTGCTCAAAGAGTAAAACGGTAAAGCATCCTATCAGTACTTTAAATATTTGAAAGGAAAGACAATAAAAAAAATCCTATCGGTCCAATGGGTTGTGTAGTACTTGTCACATAGTAGGTACTCAGTAAATAATCTATTGTTTGATTTGACTTTGTGGGAGAAAAGTCAGTGTCTGGGAGATAAAGAGTGATTGATAGAGATGCTGCTATTTTTTATGTTTAACTGTCCCTTTGAATTTCTCAGTTGACCGTAAAGTACATATGAAGTTGGTATCCTGCATTATGGGCCGATATAGGACCGTCTTGTTTTTTTGTTTTGTTTTGCTTTGTAACAATTAAAACAAGCAAAATGCCACTGGTGCTCAGCAACCCCAGGATGCAGCAACTGCAGTACAAGGAAGGGTGTGGTCCCACAGCAGTGATAGAACTCGGGTGTCCAGCACTTGGATTGGCTCCCCTGGTGGGTCCTGCAGGGATGACCACTCTCCTTATTTGGGCCTGAATTGAATACACCAGGATTTGAGCACACATGCACATACAGAGTGTGGGTGGCAGGGTTAATACATGGGCACTTAGGGGCATTGCTGTGTTAAACTAAAGGAAAAGTGGATTGGTAAAAGCAATGTTTATTTTGTGAAAATCTGAAACCAGACCCAAAGGCACCTCTGGGAAGGGGGGGGGGTGTCTAAAGTGAAGGTGTTTGAAACTGAGTTTTTGGCTTTCTTTCCTTGTCTAATGATACCTTTCCCACCTACTGCTTCTGTTTTCTCTGAGATGGGGCAGTGAAAGTTGGGACCAGGAAAATAGATTGTGATTGTTCATGTGTGCTGATTTTATCAAAGGAGTGTTAGAAAGATTAAAAGAGACAGCATAGCTAAGCACACCTAGGGCAGTAGCGGGCACATACTAGGTGCCTGATAGCAGTGAACTTTCTTCCTGCCCTCATGAGTCCTTCTTGGTTGGAAACCACACTTGGTTCTATGGTGTCAAGTTAGTTTTTCAGTCTACTAGCAGTTGAGCTACTAAATGAAGACAGAGAGCAGAGGCTAATTCAGCTCTGCATCTCCAGAGCCTGGCATGCTGGGTACCTGAGACATACTGAACAAAGAGAAATAATAAATTGGCTAATAGGCCGATGAATGAACAAATTGATCAGGATATATTCCAACAGTTTCATTGTCTGTGTCAAACTTCTCCCCCCAGGGACCTCCTTTGTCACTAACTTCCCTTGAAAGATTCCATAAAAGGTGAGATTTCATTAAAAGGAAAGATTTTTTTCCCCTTTAATTTAGCACAACACTGCCCGCAGACGTCTGCTGAATTTTTGCCCTAATTTATTTTTGCCTGGCCCTTTTATACCATAGCGCATGTTCTTTTTTCTCCTTTTGGGTGACCCTCTTTGTCTCTCTTGCTGCTCCTATGGGCTGTTGTTTACTCTTAGTGCTTTTGTCCAGAGTGTTAATTCGCTCCCAGGAACAGTTCTAACTTGGCTCCGCCTCCCACACCCACCTCTGGCTCAGTCCTGACCTGCAAAGCTGCAATCTCTATCTGTGTGCTTTGAGGGCAGAGGATTGTTGTGTGGCTCTTACAAGTGCTAAAAAGTGGCCACTTCAGATTTTCCTTGTGGTTTGGAGGGTGCATATTTAAAAATCATTCTGGAAGGGATTAGTGATAAAACCTTCTTCAGCATGTAAATCAGCATGGAAAAATAAGCCAATTAGGAAAACTAAAACAAACAAAAAGCTTTTGAAGACTTATGGACAGAGGAGAGATCCCGTGAATGACAGTAGGCCTGTGTTTTGTGGTAACAGCGTTCCTAATGACTGAGCACCACAGTGGTGATCCTGGAAAGGTGAAATGGTTTCAGTTAATTTTACCTAAACCTCCTGAAAGGCAAATCTGACTTTGTTGTTCCATTGTTGGGGCCTTTTTGGTGCCTCTTCCACATCTGGTTCTGGCTTCTCTTGGACCTTGAACCCCTACTCCGGTTATACTGATCTACTGACAGTTCTCTGAACAAGCTAGAAAATTTCGTGCCTTAGGGATTTTGAACAAACTCACTCACTCATTCATTCATTTAGAGATGAGGTCTTAGTGTGTTACTCAGGTTGGTCTTGAACTTGTGGGCTCAAGAAGTCTTCCTGCCTCATCCTCCTGAGTAGCACCGGTATGCACTGCCACATTCAGATCAAAACTCCTTCTCAGCCTTGGAATGAATTCCCTGTCTCCCTTTTGTTCTAACAAACGCCTGTTCCTTGGAAAGATTGAACTCTGTACCACCTCCTCCACAAAGCTGCTCCTGATACCTTCCAAGGCAGATGGACCTTTCTGTCTAAGTGGGCCTGAAAGATCCTTGTATTCTCTATCATAATAACAGCAGAAATACCTGTAATAATGACAGCTTCCTTTTATTGGGTGCTTTCTGGGTGCCAGGGAGCACAAGGGCTTTCACTTGTTATGTCATTTAAACACACCACCCTGTGAAGAATGCACTGTCATAGATATTTAATTCAATGATGAGGATCCTGCAGTTTACTTGCAAATTTGCTGTCACAGATTCCAAGTGGTGGAGCTGGACCTAAGCCTGTCTTTGTTACTTTTCTCATTGGTGAGACCAAATACTGGACACCCAAAGTTAAGGGAGGAAAGGTTTATTCAGGTTGATTCAGTTTGTGGAGGCTTCAGTCCATAATCGGCTGGCTCCAAGGCAGGGTGGCACATGGCCGAGGGGCAACAGTTTATGGTGGACCAAAGGTAGCAAAGCAACAGGGGACCTTAACAGCCTTTCTGCCCCTTTTATCTTATCCAGACTACTCAGGGTGGGTATCACTCACACCCTTAATCTTAGTGCCCTTGAACCTGGCATTGCACCATGAATCAATCACACACTCCATATTCAGCCACCTCTAAAAAGCCCTGTCTAAGACTTCATGAGGCTTTGGGGGAACATCTAGACAACCCAACTAGCATGGCTCGACTGTGTTATTGACCACCCTCAAGGCAGAGCTGATAAACCATTGTAAAACCAGTTTTCTCTTGGTCTCCCTTCTGCAAAGTGCACTCCTTGAGGCTGGTGATGCTCATCCAACTTTGGGCTCTAGTGCCTAGCAAGAGCCGTGGCATGGCAGAGACTTTTGATGTTAGTTGAGTTGAATAAAATTGAGTTGCATTGTACTAAATACATGTATACGTATTCTCTGTCTCCTGTCTCCCTTGCTCTCTTTATATATATATATGCATGATTATGCTTATACAGTATTTGTGACTTTTTAATTTACATATATGTACATAGAAGGATATTTATATGCACATATATAATATGCATATAACTCTGCCTCCCTTGCTATATTTACATATGCCTATGTGAAATATGTGTATATTTAGAAGTGCACTTATATTCCTATTTCATATTCATATAGGTACCTATATTCTTATTTTACATATGTGTATCAATATGTATATTATACACATATTGAGGTATATGTACACAACTTAACATACATTTCAATTAGGCATATGTAAGTGGACATATCCTTGTACTTATACCTCTGAAGTGAGCAAGAGAGGATGAGCTGCAGCCTGGAGGGGTGTACGTGTGTTCACATGTCTTCCTGTGAGTGTGTGCTCCCATAGCATCTTAAAACCGGGGGTTGCAGCATGAATCTTGGCCTGTGTGTTCTTGAAGATGAACCCCCAGCTCTCAGTTCTAACTGGGTGCATTGTGTTCCATTTAGGTCGGAGACCTCTTTAGAGGAAGAGGGCCAAGTAGAATAATATTCTTGGATTTTCTCCTGTTCATTCTCTCAGGTACAGCGACAAGCAAGTCCTACTT